AACAGTAGGGTGTGGGGTTGACTACCAAGGACTCCCCTATATTTCATTTGATTTGTTATATTGACCCATACAGATCTCGACCGTTTACAAGTTCTCAAACAGAAGGGGTGGGGATGACGCCGAGGACTCCCCAAATTATTTTCATTTCATTAGTTTTATTGTCCCATACAAGTATATATATGGTTAAGGGGTGGGGATCGCGACTGTTTACAAGTTCTCAAAAGGTTGGGGGGTTGATCCCGAGGAGACTCGCCCTCTATTTCATTTGATTTGTTCTAATGTCCCATACAAGAATATATATGGTTTTGGGTTCGGGATCTCGACCGTTTGCAAGTTTTCAAAAAAGATGAGGGGTGGGGGTGACCCCCGTGGACTCCCCCTATATTTCATTTGATTTGTTTTATTGTCCCATACAAGAATATATATGGTGTAGGGGTGGGGATCTCAACCGTTTACAAGTTCTCAAACAGAAGGGGGTGGGGTGACCCCCAGAGACTCCCCCTATATTTAATTTGATTTGTTTATTGTCCCATACAAAAATATATATGGTTCAGGGATGGGGATCTCGACCGTTTACAAGTTCTCAAACAGGAGGGTGTGGGGTTGACTACCAAGGACTCCCCTATATTTCATTTGATTTGTTATATTGACCCATACAGATCTCGACCGTTTACAAGTTCTCAAACAGAAGGGGTGGGGATGACGCCGAGGACTCCCCAAATTATTTTAATTTCATTAGTTTTATTGTCCCATACAAGTATATATATGGTTAAGGGGTGGGGATCAAGACTGTTTACAAGTTCTCAAAAAGGGGGGGGGGGGTGATCCCGAGGAGACTCGCCCTCTATTTCTTTTGATTTGTTCTTATGTCCCATACAAGAATATATATGGTTTCGGGGTGGGGATCTCGACCGTTTGCAAGTTTTAAAAAAAGAAGAGGGGTGGGGGTGACCCCCGTGGACTCCCCTATATTTTATTTGATTTGTTTTATTGTCCCATACAAGAATATATATGGTGTAGGGGTGGGGATCTCAACAGTTTACAAGTTCTCAAACAGAAGGGGTGGGGGTGACCCCCAGGGACTCCCCCTATATTTCATTTGATTTGTTATATTGACCCATACATCAATATATATGGTTTAGGGGTGGGGATCTCGACCGTTTACAAGTTCTCAAACAGAAGGGGTGGGGGTGTCGCCGGGGAGTCCCCCAAATTATTTTCATTTCATTAGTTGTATTGTCCCATACAAGTATATATATGGTTAAGGGGTGGGGATCGCGACTGTTTACAAGATAAAAGCACATTCTCAAATTGAAGGGTGAATGGGGTGACACCCATGAACTCATCCTATATTTTATTTGATTTGTTTTATTGACCCATACATCAATATATATGGTTTAGGGGTGGGGATCTCGACCGTTTACAAGTTCTCAAACAGAAGGGGTGGGGATGACGCCGAAGACTCCCCAAGTTATTTTAATTTCATTAGTTTTATTGTCCCATACAAGTATATATATGGTTAAGGGGTGGGGATCGCGACTGTTTACAAGTTCTCAAAAGGTGGGGGGGTTGATCATGAGGAGACTCGCCCTCTATTTCTTTTGATTTGTTCTAATGTCCCATACAAGAATATATATGGTTTTGGGGTGGGGATCTCGACCGTTTGCAAGTTTTCAAAAAAGAAGAGGGGTGGGGGTGACCCCCGTTGACTCCCCCTATATTTCATTTGATTTGTTTTATTGTCCCATACAAGAATATATATGGTGTAGGGGTGGGGATCTCAACCGTTTACAAGTTCTCAAACAGAAGGGGGGTGGGGTGACCCCCAGAGACTCCCCCTATATTTAATTTGATTTGTTTCATTGTCCCATACAAAAATATATATGGTTCAGAGATGGGGATCTCGACCGTTTACAAGTTCTCAAACAGGAGGGAGTGGGGTTGACCACCAAGGACTCCCCCTATATTTCATTTGATTTGTTATATTGACCCATACATCAATATATATGGTTTAGGGGTGGTGATCTCGACCGTTTACAAGTTCTCAAACAGAAGGGGTGGGGATGACGCCGAGGACTCCCCAAATTATTTTAATTTCATTAGTTTTATTGTCCCATACAAGTATATATATGGTTAAGGGGTGGGGATCGCGACTGTTTACAAGTTCTCAAAAGGTGGGGGGGGGGGGGGGGGGTTGATCCCGAGGAGACTCGCCCTCTATTTCATTGGATTTGTTCTAATGTCCCATACAAAAATATATATGGTTTTGGGTAGGGGATCTCGACCGTTTGCAAGTTTTCAAAAAAGAAGAGGGGTGGGGGTGACCCCCGTGGACTCCCCCTATATTTCATTTGATTTGTTTTATTGTCCCATACAAGAATATATATGGTGAAGGGGTGGGGATCTCAACCGTTTACAAGTTCTCAAACAGAAGGGGGTGGGGTGACCCCCAGGGACTCCCCCTATATTTAATTTGATTTGTTTTATTGTCCCATACAAAAATATATATGGTTCAGGGATGGGGATCTCGACCGTTTACAAGTTCTCAAACAGGAGGGAGTGGGGTTGACTACCAAGGACTCCCCCTATATTTCATTTGATTTGTTATATTGACCCATACATCAATATATATGGTTTAGGGGTTGGGATCTCGACCGTTTACAAGTTCTCAAACAGAAGGGGTGGGGGTGACGCCGTGGAGTCCCCCAAATTATTTTCATTTCATTAGTTGTATTGTCCCATACAAGTATATATATGGTTAAGGGGTGGGGATCGCTACTGTTTACAAGATAAAAGCACATTCTCAAATTGAAGGGTGGATGGGGTGACACCCATGAACTCATCCTATATTTTATTTGATTTGTTTTATTGTCCTGTTATCATTACTAAAGACCGTGTGAGTCTATCACTTACTGTTTTCAAGTTATTGTCTTTGGAAATTAAAAATATTAAAATCCCATTGGGTTCTATAGTAAACCCCTTCCTTCTTTATGCCCCTCAAAATACCCCTAAATAGACCACAATGCACAAATGAAAGATTGATGGCTCCCCTAGAGATGTTAGTCTAACATTTTATGAAACCCTAAGTAAATCTGACAAGCGGTTTTGTAGAACCGCTGCGGACAAGTTCATCTTTAAAGCGGCGGAAGTGGACTCGGTCTCTTGGACGAGTTGTCCCGCATTCCGCATTCCTTAAAATATATCGACTAATCAACGTCGATTTCCGGTTCTATTTCATTCATAAAATAACAATAACTTTATTTGGCAAGGTCAGTGTTACGGGATAATATAATAAAAGAAAGGAATTTAAATGTGCATACATTTATTTGAAATCAATTAAATAATCACAATCTTCTTAAACAAAAAGAATATCATGATTAACAATACTTACTTTTAACCGGGCTTTATAACATTAGAATCAATGTATACTTACCACATTTTGTAACAGTTAAAATTAACGTCAACTTAGACTACTATACGTGACGCCAAACAATATTCCCGCGCCTTTTGCCATTTGGGAAATGTAAACAACTTGTAATTAGAGATTTTCGGCGATGAAATATTTCATACAATTGTTCTTTGACATCTTAGCCAAAAGCACAGGGGATAATAAACTACATACGGATTTCTATTGAGCACTATTTCCTATGTGTAACTTCAAATATTTTACGTCGTTCGACGATCATTTAAGGTTATTCTGTTCATATTTTTTGTATTCCAGAATTTAAAGTATGAAAAAAGTGTCCAATTAGTTATAAATAACATATTAGCCTGCTAGATAACAACAATGGTACTTTTTTCAGCATACGTTGGGAGGAACACAAATCTAGGGTGCTAGCATAAGGCAGCTTAACTGCCATAAAACCATGTTAAATTATATCTATCCGGTCTAAGACTTCAACACTAATTATATTAGTCTTGGTCCAACAGGCAGCTCATTTGTCATGCTTGTCAATAATGTTACCCTATTGAGCTGTCCAGTGGCAAATCCAGGGGGTGGGTTCCCTTTTTTTGACGATCAATATTATACTTTTGAATTGGGGCATATGGTTAGATCCCGCTCCCCTCCTTTTATCCTGGGTTTCGACCCCCTCTTTTAAAAATGGCTGGATCCACCCCTGATGTCCATGATTATTTTGATGCTAAGGCTAAATTTTATAACATGATCAGCTGCTCGTTTTAGATTATTTTGTTTTAAATGTAAATGTCGAAGAACGGGAATTTCAATGAACAGCTGTATAACCATCCCCCCCTTTTATGAAAGTCGTCGATATCAACAGTTAATGATCATTCAAGTAGTTCACAAATCAAACAAACACTTTTGTGAATTACGGAATGTATATGTTTATCAATCGAAACAGTCAAAATGTCTTCAAAATATATACTTACGTTACTTCAATCGAACATCAACAAACAAATGGCGCGAAATCATAACGTAATTATTTTCGAAAGCTATCGGGACTTTTCACCATTCTAATCTTTACGTATAAACTACTCCTGAAATCGATTTACACAGCTGTATAGTACTAGTAGTCTCAGTTTACAGTCATCAATATTTTATATTTGCGTAACCATTAAAGAATAATCATCAGAATTATTGTTATTCATTATTTTTTTCTCGCGTTTTTTTTTTTTAATTTCGATTCCTCTGCTAATCAAAGGGAAGCAATCCTCATGTAATTTTAATACACTGAAAAGTACTGGACAACGATTTTATCGATGAACTGACGTGTACTAAAATGTACTTGACAGTACTTCATTCAATGCTAGGCGTTTTTTCTTAATTACCTGAACCAGTACTGACTGGTACTTAATCGATCGCGATAGTGAGTGTACTGAGCATGTACTGAACAACTGAAAAAGATCTTGACATTTTTCCTTGCGGTAATTTCAGGCATTAAAGAGTTGTTCAGTTTAAAATGACTGTTTCAGTAGTAAAACCCGTTACTAGTGCTATTTTCAAAGAAAATCAAATTGTCGAAAAAAGCTTGTCAAAGTACCTGTAATCCAAGTCTGTGAGAGTACTTTCCTGTCAGAATTGCACCACGGGATCTGTTGGAGAAATTGATGAAATAGTAATTAAGGTACAAATAAAATGTTGAATAGCTTATATTAAAGCATTAAAATCATAAAGATTTACTGAAGACCAAAAACGTTTTATGCCACATTAAACCATTCAAAACTAACAATTAAATATCAGAGATTCGATCACCTGAGTGTGGAAAGTGTAACCCCATATATTCAATTGTTTTGAACATAATCATCTCTACATGTTAACAAACTCAGTTTTTTGTTTTAAACATCTGTTTGTTAAGTAATATTATCTCTCCCTTTATCAGCACGAGATGACAGATTTACAGCTCTACTTAACCATTTTATAATTGAGAGAAGATATGAAAGTTTCATTCTGACGGTTTAGATGTAAGATTGAATACAAAGTCAAAGAATAAAAAATCTATAAAACTTACCTTTAATTATATTCAAAATATCTAATAATGAAGAGTAAATTTCAAACTATATTTATACATAATTTGTTCTCTGAAATTAGATTTGATGCTTTATCTTTTTTTGACCATGACTATGCAATAAAGCTCTGAATGTGGATTGTGATTATATATTTGACATAGCATAGTTGCTGACACAAAATGAATGTGGTCTAAGAACTTAAAGACTTGAAATTGGACATTTATCCATTATGGTCCAATATCCATAATCTAAATACATGGTTAGAATCAGCCTATCAAAGAACCCCAATAATTTAATTTTTGTTGAAATCAAAAAAGTTCAATTTTGGACCCTGCGGACCTCAATGTTGACCAATTTGATAACAGAGCCCAAGATACAAAATCTAAATACACGGTTAGATTCGGCGTATCAAAGTACCCAATATGTTACATTTTTTGTTGAAATAAAAAAAAAAAGTTCAATTTTGGACCCCGATTTGGACCAACTTGAAAGCTGGGCGCAAAATCCAAAATCTAAACGGTTAGATTCAGGACATTAAAGAACCTCATATATTCAATTTTTGTTGAAATCAAACAAAGTTAAATTTTGGACCCCAATCTTGACCTACTTGAAAACTGGGCCCAGAATCAAAAATCTTAATACATGTTTAGTTTCAGCATATCAAAGAACCCCTAGAATACAATTTTTGTAAAAATCAAACAACGTTTAATTTTTTACCCTTTGGACCTTAATGTAAACCAATTTTAAGACAGGCACAACAAAATAAAAATCCAATTACACAGTTAGATTCGGCATATCAAAGAACACCAATAATTCAATTTTTGTTGAAATCAAACAAAGTTTTATTTTGAACCCTTTAGAGCTTAATATGGACCACTTCAAAAACAGGGCCCAAAATCCAAATTCTAAATACACGGTTAGATTCAGCATATTAAAGAACCCCAAGAATTCAAGACTTTGAACTAAACCCCATTGAAATTGGTCAAGAAATAAGCAATTTATACAAAGTATTACAAAAGTATTGTTTTTGGCCTTTTTTTTCCTACACCGTTGGGGTCATAACCCTCAAAATCAATCCCAACCTTCCTTTTATGGTATGGAACCTTAAAGAACAATTTCATAGCGATCCATAGACTTATACTTAAGTTATTGTCCAGAAACTTGAAAATCCTTTTTTTTTTCCTCTTTTCGACCCCTTATTACTAAACGGTTTTGGCCATGACCCCCAAAATCAGTCCCAACCTTTCTTTTGAGGTACGGAACCTTGTGCTAAAAATTCAAAGAGATCCATACACTTATACACAAGTTATTGTCCTGCTTGTTTTTTACCCTTTTTGGCCCTTAATTCCTAAACAGCTAGAACAATAACCCCCAAAATCAATCCTATCCTACGTATTGTGGTATGAAACCTTGTGCTACAATTTCATAAAGATCCATACACTTATACGAAAGTTATTGTCTTGAAACCAAAATGTCTTTAGACGACAAATGTCTTCGGACAACAAATGTCTTCGGACAACAAATGTCTTCGGACGACAACACAGACATCGCTATAACATAATACGAACGCAAATAATTTGCGGTCGTATAAAAATGTAAAAAATCAGTTTGAAATCATATCAAAGTATAAGTCTGGTATCTTTGACGAGTTTTGACTCATCAGATGGGCACGAATCACAAAAAAACTTACTTAAAGACAAAAAACACAATATTCCGATCTAACAGTGCCTGCAGTTATTGAAAGCTATTTTAAACTAATTGATACATCCAGTTCTCCCAGACTTAAGTATCAACGGATAGGTACTTAGGTATAAGAAGATTGGGTATGAGTGCCAATGAGACGACTCTCCATTCAAGTCACAATTTGTAAAAGTAAACCATTAGGTACTTGTTTTAATATGACATGTAGACTTTGTTTCGATGTACCTCGAACTGAGGAATCTTTTTAGTATAACAAACAAAAATATGCACAATATATCACTATTTTGTTCTGCAAAAAGATCAAATTGAGCTTTTAAAAGAATTTTTTGAAGCGAAAATTTATTTTCTGGAAATGTTTCATATGACGGAATCATATACCTTTGTGTTCAGCTGGCAGAATGAAGCATACAAATCCACTTCTGATACTATGATTTAATAAATGCAATATGTTTGTATTTTCATAGAATTTTGTCCCCAAAAAAGCTAATTACGAAAGTTTGAATTGGTAAATACTTACGGTGAACACACTGGATGAGCATAATGATTTTCTAGTTTAACACCTTGTTTTGCAAGTTTGTCCATATGTGGAGTTAAAACCTCAGGATTGTGCCAGCTGACATCATTCCAACCTAAATAATGTTTTAAACAATGGTTTTATCATGACTGTCTCCATTATGTAAAACAAAATTACAAGATACAAATGTAACACAGAAACACAGTATATTAAGTTCTTCTCTTTACTACTTAATTAAAAACGAACGAGATAAACAAAACTAAACACAAAAAGAGCAAGATATGAGCACTGATCAATCTCATTACACCCTGACATACATAGACAATACAAATGTTTTGGCTTGACATAATAACGATATTAAAAATGCGAGGCTCTGCCAGATATGCCAGATATGCCAGATATGTGACTATGCAACACGGATACATCGTTATTTCACTAACCTTGATCATCAGAAACAATAAGTACAATATGTGGTCTTCTGGTGGTTTTCCTTTTGCAGTAGCCTAAAAATATGATCCGTAAATAAATTTTGGCAACAGTAGTTTACAGATGTTTATAATCTCATTAATCGACAAAGAATACAAATTAAGATAACAAACGAAAACTGGAGGAATCGCGTAAACTCATATAGTACATTTATGTAGGAAGAGGAAAAGGTGTCTTTAAAAGAAAACAACAAAGAAACCAGGCAAATAATTTTGTACGCCAAACGCACGTTTCGTCTACAAAAGACTCATCAGTGACGCTCAAATATAAAAAGGAAAAAGGCCAAATAACGTACAAAGATGAAGAAAATCGACTCAAGGTGAAAAGCAAAAACCGAATCGTCTGAACTCTAATAGAAAAATAAAATATATAAAATGTTGAATTCTAAAATAAACTGAGCTTTTTCTATCCTCCAAGGTATGAATTGCCTTCGCTGTATTAAACATAACTTTTGAATTTGCGGTTATAAATGCTCATCAATTTCGTATTTGATTTGGATTTACGACTGTTTTGGCTTTGCCACTTAAGAGTCTTATGTAGAAGAAAAGCGCGTCTGGCGTACCAAATTATAAGACTGGTATCTTTGATTAGTTTGTACAACTGGGTTTATGTCACTGTTGGTAAACGCTTCGTCCCCGAGGTTATCACCAGCCCACTAGTCATCAGTTTTGTGCTGACATGAACTATTATTGATATGTTCATTTTCCATAAATTGACTGTTTATAAAATGTTGAAATATTCAAAACACTAAGGTTTTTCTATCCCCAGGTATAGATTGCCTTCGCCGTATTAGGCAGAACTTTTCGGAATGTTCGGTTATTAATGCTCATCAATTTCGTTTTTTATTTGGCTTTTCACCTAATTTTAGCGCCACTGAAAAGTCTTATGTAGATGAAACGCGCATCTGGCGTAACAAATTAGAAGCCTGGTATCTTTGATTAGGTTTTACGTCATTTTGCAGTAACATGTGCATTGCATTCGAATCAGTGTATCTGTATCACATATTTGTTGAGTTTGGTGAATTGATATTTCAACATACAGTCGGTACTCAAATGGGTTCTAATTGTTCAACCCTACTTGCCGACTTGTATTTGTACTAAAGTGAAGCAGAATTCATACATAAACCTTCTCAAAGACAAAAAGAAATAATACTGCAAAGTTCTTTAATTGCAATATTAGATATATTGATCATGTCATGTCACTCAATAACCCATATTTAAGTGCGCGCATTTATCTCATTTATCCCAGTAGAAGGTTCGATTCATATCTTAATTTTGACACAAATGGACGACTTCAAACTATAATCTCTGACAAAAGTGATGATTTCAACTTTCCGATTGTAAAATTCCAATTTTCCAGCAGTAACATACCCTCTCACATCTCAATTGAGATTTTATGCTCATGTATCTTTATTATATACGGACTAAATTAACTGGCTAATAACTGTTCAAACAGAGTTATGAAGAAATACGACGGAAAGAAATGAAAACAAACATTTTATGCGTCCGAAGCACTTTTCTGGAAATACCTTCATCAGAAACGATCAAAGCCAAATATCTGAAAGTCTAGAATGCATAGGAACCGAAACAGCTGAAGAGCTATATGACAAAAAAGGACCTAAAAATAACAGCCAAATCTATTAAATGTCAACTTTACCTGAGGGAGTTGAAACCATAGTTTTAATAATTTCTTAATTTATAAACGGACAATAAAGCAAATTGACACTGTTTAAGTTTTAAGGCCATCAACACGACGCGGTGGACCATTACGATATGCCGGTGTCTCAACTCACTAGCGACATGTTTTGGCGGTCTTAGATCTTTAGATACCAAAAATAGTCGTCTAATCTGTCAATGTAACGATTGTGTTCTATTCCTGATTGTGACATTTTGACTGATTGTATATTTGCATGTCGGTTGATGTATTAAATACAATTGTAGCAAAAGACGCGTACCCTGTTGACGCATCCGGGTTCGTTCTAATTGAAGTTGGTATTTTCTTAATTGATTTATGACATTTGAACATCTGTATTTCAAACTGGTCCCATATTTAGACAATTTTTAACATCTTTTGTTTGAAACAGATATTGAAACGGGTTTGATTCATACAGACGTTCGATTCAATTTCAAGTCAAATCTGCAGAATAGCGTGAAAATTGTAGAAAAGGTGTTTTCCATTTACTTTGGTTAATATTTAGTGGTGGATTTGTAAAGAGTTGTTATATTGGTATCATTGTTTTATAACCATATGTAAAAAGTAAAATCACAAAAATACCGAACTCCGAGGAAAAGTCAAAACGGAAAGTTCCTTATCAAATGGCAAAATCAAATGATAAAACACATCAAATGAATGGACAACAACTGTCCTGACTTGGTACAGGCATTTTCAAATGTAGAAAATGGTGGATTGAACCTGGTTTTATAGCGTTAAACCTCTCACTTGTACGACAGTCGCATCAAATTCCATTATATTGACATCAATGCGTGAACAAAATGTCACAAATAGGGGTACACCAACAACACAAACCCTGCTCCACATGTGGCGCCCGTCGTGTTGCTAATATTATTACAAAGCCGGTAAATAGTCTAATTCGGTAGGTCACATTCGTGTAAAGGGAACGGGATTGTAGTTACGACATGAGGAACATATCCGATACCATCTGTATAACGGATATTCCATAACGGTCAACCAACTCGTGATGGCGTCCGTAAAATTTACGAAGTGATGATATCAACTTCACGATTTGGAACTTTTGGTTTAAAAATGAAAAGGTCACAATTGGGAAGCTGAAATCATCTCTTATGTCGTAAAGTTTTGTTTTCAACCAACCCTCATAGTCAATTTCTAGATAAAAGTCCTAATCAAATGGCAAAATCAAAAGCTCAAACACATCAAACGAATGGTAAGTTACTACCACTAAGTTACACATTTAAAATATGACGAAATCATTTTCATCTACTCTCAGAATTTTTAGGGGCGAGCGATTCCAAAGAACAAGTAATTTATTTGGTGTGGCCTCAGAGAAATCTGTAATACATGATACCTTTACACAATGCTGCTTACATACTGATGCCTTTGGGGAATATATCTTTACATAATGATGCCTTTGGGGAATCTGTCATAAATATTCCTTAATACAATGAGGCCTTATTGGAATCTGTCTTATATATATAGTCTTGTATGATAACTTTATACAGTGATGTCTTTGAGGATTCTGATATGTAGTATTGTATGATAACTGCATTAGTGGAATATGTCATACCTTAGACATGATACCTTTATATATTACTTTTATTCAATGATGCCTTAGAGGAATCTATCACACACGATGTATACGAACTACTTTTCAGCGATGTTCCTTGAGTGAATCGCTACGGACTGATTCCTCTGAGGAACTTGCCAGCGTGACAATCTGTCTCGTGCTATTGTTTCACCTAATAGAACTCTGTAAGATGCATATCAAAAACGAAGTCGGTGAACATGTTTTTGATAGTAATGTATTGAGGAAATTTTACTTAATCTATATTTTTTTGGTGTTTTTTTTTCTTTTCATGAAATTGAATCGCGTTTGAATTTACTTGCCAACATGCATTGAATAGTGATTGGTATTTATATCTACATAGAAGTGTTTTCATTTATCAGCATAAAGTTCAGGTTTTGGCAATCAAACAAAAAAAAAACCGGCAAGATTATACAGCGATTCATATTTCCATACAAAAGCAGTGATAAGGTATCAATTTGATGGCAGGAATATAGAAGCAATTTAGATTTCATTCCAAATCCATAACTACAAAACATCACGTGAAAATGTTACTGCATCTGAAAAATTTGAGATAATGACACATTTCCTGTTTTATCAAAACTACTTGCTCTTTTTGAACAAGAGAAAAAGATTAAATAATTATTTATTACTTCAATGTAAATGAGATATAGTCGTCTGATATCTTCATGGCTGACGCATCCCAGATATGGGAAGACTACATTAAATACAAAATAAACGTATAATACCGTTATCCGTTTTCTTGACACACGATTCTGTTCTACCAATCTTCATTAGATACCCTAGGTAAATTGTATTTAATTGTTTACCTATCTTTCGGAATTCAGAAGATTTTTGTGTTTTTATTCGTTTATTTAAAGAAGGCCATTCGCATTACCATCCACTGTTGAGATCGCTAAGCGCTTGTTTTTTTTATGATATTGTTACTTGTTAGAAATTGTTTTCCTATCAATTCTGTTTTTTGCGTATGCATTTAAAATAGTAGAAATAATATTTTCAGTTTCAGTACTAATCAATATACTATTTCATTATTTTCATCAGTGAACTCCACGAGGAGCGAGAACGGGTATATTGCAATGGTAAGCGCCTGCTGCAATATATATTTTACTCCAAATAAGAGTCTAAACTCAAAATGGCAGTATTTATCGATGTTCTAAACTCATAAATCCATTTGAAATATACAAACCAAGAGAAAACATCTGAGAGGATTTTACATTCATATCAATCAAACTTACTTTGCTGAATGGACAGATTACAAAATAATGATCAAAGACGAGCACAACTATATTCCCATAACGATTTTGCGTATATGCAAATGATGTCCAAGAAGTACAGTTCTAACAAATTTTAAGTATCTCCCTGTATCAAGTCATACCTTCAACACAATAAAGCTGATAGGAAACCAAAACTGCTAAGATTTCTTTCCAATATACTACCATCCTTTATCGTCGATAACTATTTGACACATGAACAATATTTGACAAAAAACGTACAAGAAATGCTATCTGCCCTAATTTGTATCCGAGAAGGTTAAATTAAATGCCAAACAATAGTTATACAAGTTAAGCTAGTGTGCATGAATCATGTCACACATGTTTACAATATTATAGTTAGTTTACTGTGAAAGGAAAGTCGAAAGAAAATAATACATTTTTTCTTTTATTTTCTTAAATATTATTGAATAAACTCAAAATAGATGTTTTATTTGTATATAAAAAAAGTAAAAAAACAAAAATACCAAACTCCAAGGAAAATTCAAAACGGAAAGTCCCTTATAAAATGGCAAAATAAAAACTCAAACACATCAAACGAATGGAAAACAACTGTCATATTCCTGACTTGGTACAAGCATTTCCTTATGTAGAAAATGGTGGACTAAACCAGGTTTTATAGGTAGCTAAACCTCTATAACATGTATGACAGTCACATAAAATTCCATTATGTTGAAAATAATGTGTGAGCAAACCAAACAGAAATAATAAGAAAACATGTCAAAAAATATGGGGTACAGCAGTCAACATTGTGTTATAATCTTAATCACTATAAAAACAAACAACTATGTCAACAAAGAAAACAAAATGGCATATATACACTCTATAGACAAGGGCGCATAAACAAAAATGAAAGACAAGAATACAAAAAATGATCATAGCACAACAACACAAAGGCGGGATGTATAAATTCCGAGCAACGCCAAAAGCATATTACCAAAAATTTACTAAACAGTAAAGTTTAAAAATATACAAAGACAAATAAAAAGAACACTATAACACGTAATTAAGATCATAAACAACGTTTGAATCAGTACCTTTAATCAATACTTCAAGACCATCATGTATTATTTGTAAAGTTAATACGGAAAGCACACAATTAGGCGAAAAACGTTGTTAAAACTATTTGAAAATCATCATATCTCTAAAATACTACCATAGATTTTTCTGAGACATTAATATGTTGCTTATACGAATATTTGATTGATTGAAAATAATAATAGGACAACCAACTTCGTGTTTAAACTACGTTAAACGGCTTTTCAACTTGACGACGTTACGCTTATAACGCAATTGTTTGGTATAATAATAAATAATAAATAAGCTTTATTTAGAGTCGGCAAAGTATACAAACAGAGACAACATAAGCACTAATGAGCTTTTAACCGACATACAAGACATTTATAACAATACAACACATAATGCACATGCAATTAATTACAAAGCACAAAATGAAGATTAAAGCATGGTGGTAATAAGCAGACCATAAGCATGATAAGCTAGGTGTTAAAGCTAAAAGCATATAAGTGTTAACTAGGTCATTAAAGATTGCATATTTTGGCTTTAATATTGATTCACTTATAGGGTCTTTGCATCGGAATTAAACATATTTATTCTAAAACCAGTTGTTGGCATGACACGGGTTATGTTCTTCTCATATATTTTATGATGGTATAATACTAAACCCCTAACAGGAGGGATTGTGCCTGATATTCATATGATGAAGACATAATCTTTCAATCAGTTTAATTGAGGTCTGGAGCTGCTAGTAGTCTGTTGTTATTTGTGTATTATTGTCATTTTGTTTTATTTCTTTTGTTTCCTATTCTGACATCGGACTCGGACTTCTCTTAAACTGAGTTTTACTGTGCGTACTGTTGTACGTTTGTTTTTTCTACATTGGCTAGAGGTATAGGGGGAGGGTTGAGATCTAAAAAAAAAATGTTTAACCCCGCCGCATTTTTGCGCCTGTCCCAAGTCAGGAGCCTCTGGACTTTGTTAGTCTTGTATCATTTTTAATTTTAGTTTCTTGTGTATAATTTGGAGTTTAGTATGGCGTCCATTATCACTGAACTAGTATACATATTTGTTTAGGGGCCAGCTGAAGGACGCCTCCGGGTGCGTGATTTTCTCGCTGCATTGAAGACCCATTGGTGGCCTTCGGCTGTTGTCTGCTCTATGGTCGGGTTGTTGTCTCTTTGACACATTCCCCATTTCCATTCTCAATTTTATGATTAAAAGCTGGTTAAATGCATAGCATAAAATATTAAAAAAAAGGGTATGATCTAAATGGTAAAAAATTTTGCATATATTAATTAATAATCTGCACAAACTGTGCACTTACAGTCATTTCCATTTCCATGACTTTGTTATTTTTTAACTGACTAAAATTAGCAATTTTTCTAAAATCATCAGGTAGATCATTCCATAAAAACAGCAGCTGCATATTTAAAAGAGTTCTTACCATAGGTTGATGTTCGAACCCTAGGTATATCTACAATATTAGAATATCTAAAATTATATTTACTATCTTTCAATACAACTAAATCCTGTAAACATGGTGGTGACAATTTATATAAAATTTTAAAACATTCAATAGCTATGTTACGCATACGTCTTATTTTCAGTGATGGAACCTTTGCTCGTAAAAGTAGTTCATCATATGAACTAGTATAGCCTTCATATATAAATCGTAAAGCCCTTTCCTGATTTTTTTCTAATTTAGTGGTATTATTTTTGTTGCAAAAATGCCATGCCAAAGGACAAAAATTAAAATTATATAAAATAAATGAGTGGAAAATGGTCAATTTATTTAATTTAGTAAGGTCAATGCGCTTTAAAACATTCAGTTGTTGAGATGCTTTACGACAAATATTTTCAATGTGGTGATTAAAATTAAGTTGATAGTCAATATCAATACCTAAACGTTTGACAATCTCATCACAAGATATTTTTGCTGACTGTATATTAAAAACAGGCTTTTTTGCAAATGTTTAATTTCCAACTGCAATGGCTTGGAATTTATCAGGATTTGCCTGCATACAATTTAATCTAAACCAATCAATTAAAACAGCACTTTCTCTTTTAAGTGTAAATAATAAATTTTCAAAATTGTTGTCAGCATACGACATCAGCATAATTATACAGGGTACCATGTTTAAAAAAATATTGAATATGTCATTTATAAAAATATTAAATAATAGAGGTCCAAGGATTGAGCCTTGGGGTACCCCTTTCTGGATGTCAGCCCAACTGCTGAGTACTCCCTGAAGTTTGATTTGTTGCCTACGATCTGTAAGATAATTTTCAAGTAATTTCACTGATTTTGAAGAAAGACCGTAGGCAGATAATTTACTTAAAAGAATGTCATGCGGTAAACTGTCAAAATATATGTATAATGTACATGTTTGTGAAGTAAGTTGCCGGTTCGTTATTCATTATTACATATTCATTATCCAACTGGACGCGGGGCCTCGGTGGCCGAGTGGTCTTAGTAGTTACTACTGTAACACTAGCCAGTCAACACTGAGGTTGTGAGTTCGAACCCCGCTCGTGCGGGTGCACTCGACTCCAATCTTAATTGACTAGGATTGTCAGTTTTCATATCGAAGGTCGGTGGTTTTCTCCGGCTTCCTCCACTAATAAAAACTGGCCGCCACGAAATAGCCCAAAAGCGGTGCTTAAACGTGGCGTTAAAACACCAAAATTCAATCAATCAAATCCATCTGGACGCCAGTAGTGGGTTCGAAATTTTAAATTTGTCAGTCAAAAATAATAAAAACGAGACATTTAATAGAATTCTTAAAACGATAATTATGTTAAAAGAAAGATAGAAATCTTTGTCCTACAAATAATCAAAAATTCTTGTTGTCTCAGATATAACCCCTTATTCAGAACATAATTCCATCGTTATAGTTCATCAATCTTAAACGATAAAAGTGAATAAAGCCTATTATTTAATAACATGACTACGCCTGACATTTATACACGAAAACATTGACAATTTATGAACATGTGAAAACAAAATCTAACTACTAGTATGGAAAACCATTAATGGACATTTTGAAAACGCTTTTATTTTCAAAATATTTGTAAAACACTAATCGGGACCGCCCAAATGACAATGAGACCTTCTTGATCTTTAAATATCTATAAAATTTGGGTTACAGTTAGGCCAGGCATAAATATTAATACAATCAAAAGGATATCTAAACAAAAGTTTCATTTTCGGGGAACTTAAAGTGTCACTTTACTATAAAAAAAAATCAACGGAAAAGAACCTCTGCGTTAGATACACTTACCTGATCTTTCACTGTCATGACATTTATCACAGAGTTAGTTTATATGTAAATACATATACGGTAAAGATGAGTTTATTGTAAAACTGTGTTTTCAATATGTACAGAGGTCTCACAGTGCCATTTTTTTTTATGAAAAATAGTATAACAAGAAATATTGTGACGAGTTAAGTATTTAATTCTCAAGCGGGCCTTTTCAAAATTCCTGACAGGCTATCAAAATCCGTAAAAATAAATACGTATAGGAACGCCAATTAACTTAGGAATTTAAGAGATAAGCATGAGGCAATGTTCAAAAGTTGAAAATCGATTTTAATAAACAAATCAAGATAAAAATCGAAATACAAAAAGGAATTTGAATTCCAAACGGAGCAAGACCTGATGCGTATATGGTGAGCGTCTCCTACAACACATGCATCACCCACACTGTGAATCCAAACTCAAAATGTCAGAAGTTTTTCGATGCCTTCAGCTCATACATCCATTTGGAATAAACAAACTAAGACAAATTACCTCAAGGGATTTTCCGTTCATATTTAACAAATCGAATCTTATGAAGCGACACACGACAAGGTATTGCTCAACGTAGAGCACAACTATGTTCTCTTAACAACTTCTGAGGAGTGCATGTAATGTTATAAAACATACAATCTTTTCAAATGTATTCCCCCCTGTGAAATCTTACCTTCAGCATAATAAAAGTGATAGCAAAACAAAACTGCGTAGATATCTTTCATATATACAACCCTTTTTTCGTCGATAACGATTTAACACTATATTTGACAAATAATGTACCAGATCTAAAATATAAAAAAAAATGAACCAACTAACTTTTCGTTTAACGCCTTTCATTTTGTTAAATGCCTGAAAAAAATAGTCAGTCTATAAAATGCTCAATTCTCAAATGTTCGTTCAAACTAATAATTTCAGGCATTTTATTAATGTCTAAATTTAGAAAAAAATCTGTAAGG